GTCTCCTGTCATTTGTCATTGTCAGTGTCTGAGCCCTATGGAGGGAAATGAATTCCTGAAGCTCAGACCTAAGGGTCTGGAATCAAGTTGACCCATAGCTGAATAGGAGTCCTGCCATTTCTCACCTGTGAAATCGGAATAGTACTGTTTTGGTTTCCTCTGGCAAACCCCATGACCAAAACAACTTAGTGAAGGAAAGGTTTGTTTCAGCTTGCAGGCTACAGCTCATCATGGAGGGACGTGGTGGCAAGAGCTCAGGCGGGGACTTAAAGCAGAAAGTGCTGTTTGTTGGAGCATGGTCAGCTAGCAACCTCACACAGCCCATGCCCGATTCCACAGGGATAGCACGGCCCACCATGGGCTGGGGCCTCGTGCATCAGTCAGCGCTGAAGTTCATCTCTCTACAGACACACCCATAGGCTAGTGTGAGGTGGGCAGTCCCCCAGTTGAGGATCCCTGAGTTCAGCTCCCCAGAACCCACGTAAAAAGCTGAGTGAGGTGTTTTGTGTCTATAATCCCAGCAACGATGAGACAGGAGACAGAGAGATCCCTGGAAGCTTGGGGCCCAAATAGTGTGATCACCATGACAAAATAGCAAGCCAGTGAGAGACTGTGTCTCAAAAATCAAAAGATGGAAGACACCCAAAGGGCAGAAACCCAAAGTTTTCCTCTGACCTCCGCAAGTGTGCATGGCGTGTGCATCCCCAGGAACATGCACAAATACAAGAGGGAGGGAGGGAGGGAGAGAGGGAGGGAAGGAGGGAGGGAGGGAAGACGGGGGAGGGAGGGAAGCAGGGAGGGAGGGAGGACGAGGGAAGAAAAGAGTTGATATGCACTTCCTTGACCCAAACCAACCTTGGTCCCTGGTCTCTTGGGTGACTTTTCATCCTTGGTGATTTGGCTGTAGCAGCAGCATCTAAGATGTTCCCAGAGCACTGTCTGGTTTCAAGATCCTTGCTCTGGTCTCCAGTCACGGCCCACATTGGGACACAGGGCCCTGGTGGCTCCCGCCTATGTCTGGTCTGGTCTCGCAGGTCGCTGAAGGTCTTTGAGAGCTGAGGTCATGTCTGACCTCCTTCGCTTCCCTGTGTCAGCTGCAAGCACTTCTAAAGTGTCTGTGGAATAAAAAAGAAGCCTCAGAGAAGATGAGGGGCTGAAAACAGATCCAAGGAGAAGCTTGCTGTTTTAGATGGGTTTCCCTGAAAGCGGAGGAGGACATCTCTCATCCAAGCTATCACAGTGCAATAAGATATTTAGAACATAGTAAATGGGTAGGCAGCATAGAATTCATGCTTTTAAAAGAACAAGTTAATTTAATGGAATTGACAGCAAGGACTCAGACCCTTGGACACCTTGTTTACTGTAGTCAAAAGATAAAAACAGCCCGGGAGCCTATCAACAGATGAATATGTAAACTAAAAGATAGAAGGGGCTGCAGAGATGGCTCAGCAGATAAGCACACTTGCTGAGTTCAGTTCCCAGCTCCCATACGGCAGTCATAACAGTCTGTAACTCCAGGTGCAGGGGTCTTTTGGCCTCTATAGGTACTGCGCACACATAGTGCATATACATACATGCATGAAAAACACTCATACACATTAAATTAACTAAATAAATAGTTCAAGAACATCCTCAGTTACATAATGGGGTTGCTTGTGAACATGGCTAACAGTCAGGGGTGTGCTTGGGCACAAATACAAACACACAGAGGCATGTACACATCCAGACACAGGCATTCACACACACATACACACACACAACATTTTGAGACACAGACACATATACAGAGCATATAGGCACACATACACAGGCATGCACACATACACAGAGCACATAGACACACATACACAGGCATGCACACACACATACATAGCACACACGCTGTCTTTCACACACATGTACATTTGTGGAAACAGTTGGGATATTCCAGCTTAGGAAAGCCTAGGGTTCATCAGATTTTTACTCAATGACTTTCTGATGACACCATTTGTAGCAGGAAAGTCATGAATTAGTTATCAAATTACTCAATAATTCATAGGTGCCACCACCAAGCTCTGTGGAGATATAACTGTGTACCGTTCCTCATTGCCATTTGTGTGTGCACGCGTGTGTGAGCGCATGTAAGTGTGAGGCGATGGCCCATTCCTATGTCAAGTCGGCTTTAAAATGTGTAATCTAAGGAAAACCACTAAAGTGTAAGAAGCAATACCCTGCTTACAACACTAACTCACTGCATTGGCTTTTGTTTGTTTGTTTGTTGATACTGTTATCATTTAAAGATAAAGTCTCATGTAGCCCAGGCTAGCCTGGGACTCACTTTGTAGCCAAGGATGATCTTGAGCCTCTGATCCTTCTGCCTCTGCCTCCCAAGTGTTTGGATTGTAAGCATGTGCCGTTAACTCCAGTCTATGCTAGCTGGGGATGCAGCCCATGGCTCCATGTATACCAGGCAAGAGCTCTCCTAACTGGGTCATGTCTCCAGCCCCTACTGGCTTGTTGCTTCTTTGTGTCATTCCAACTGTCGGGCAAACTGACTCCACATTTGTTCTCAGAGGGCCCTATGCCCATCATTTCATGAGACTTACCTCTGAGGTGCTATAAATACACCAGAGAAGTCAGTCAACATGAAAAAAAGCAACTCACTAATGTGCTTATGAAAAAAAATGTCACTCCAAGAATGACATTACTGTCAAATTAGGAGTGAGTTTAAAAATAGTAGCATGGTAACATGCCCAGAGACAAGGGGCCTAGGACTTAGATGCCTGGTGGCTCAAATGGAGCCATCATCCCTGGGAAGTGGCTGGACGGTGTGCTGTCAGTGCCCTCCTCAAGTCCTTTACATGCTCAGATGCCTAGTCCCACATTCCCTCTGGGGACTCAATGCGGAGGAAATAGTGCTTACTGTAGAAAGACCATGTGGGAAAGTGTTCACCGCAGCCCAATCACGCCCCAGCTGCAGGGTGCCCTAACCACCCTACTCATCTTGGTTCCCCAAGTGGATAACGTCACCCTCTGTCCTTTGTACTCCCAGAGAAAAGTGAACTGGGCAGGGCCAGGAGTTGCTCAAGACCACACAGCTGAGAAAAGGCCACTTCCAACCTGTCGCCTGGGGAGAAAACCCTGCAACCCTGGAAACGACTACCCCAGTATGGTCAAGCCCCTGATATTTGGGCTCTCCAGGACACCCACAGACAGTCCACACAACTCTTGCCTTTATTACATTCTGGGGGTAGCTGGGGCACCCCACTGAGAACACACCTCAGCTAGAACGAGACTGCCCTACCTCAGGGGTCCCTGTGGACTGGGTTGGGACCCACATCTACAAAGAAGGACTGGGACAGCTCTGCAGATGAGCAAGCCTGTGGTAATAACTGGTAGACCTGGGTATTTGTCTCCCGGAGGCACCTCAGAGTCCAAGGTAAAGAGTCTGGGGTGTGGGGGACCGGACCTTAACAGCCACACTCCCGCTGATTCCCGAGTCCACAGTTCTGCTTGTCCCCCTCGTCTGTGCCCCAGTGACTGAAGTGCTACTCGGGAGTGTGAACCCGTGCTGGCACTGGTTCCCACCCTCTCTGGGCAGCCTGCGTCTCTGCAGCTAAGTTCCTTATTTGCCCAAGACCCTCATCGTTGTTTGTTTCCAGCTATGAACCTGTGCCCCGGAAGGAGTACCTAGATGCTCCCTGAGGCCAAGGGCAGCCACAGCTTCTTCCTTGGCCTGAGGTGTACAGCCTTCCCCTACCCAGACCCTTTTCTTCTCAGCTGCAAGGTTTAGGCCCTGCCTCCTGGTCACAGCGACAGCTCTCTGATTGTTACCCTGCCCCGACCCTCTACGCACACTGGTCTTTCATTGAGAGGCCTGACATAACCAGATGGCTGAGCCCTGTGCTGGAGGCCATGACCCTGCACACCCCCCTACAAGTGCTGCCAGCAATGGCCAAGTGAAATCCAAAGCATAGAGTTCAGGCAGGGGGTGTGTGGTTAGATCATTGGCAGCCAGAGGCTGGTCATCAAGAGCCAGAGTTGCAAGCGGGCCCAGACTTTGTGTCAGACCCTCTTGGACTTGGATCTTGCCCCTGACATCTGAAGGCTGAGGCATCTTGGAAGAGTGGTTTTAACTCTCCCAGGCTTCGTTTCCCTGTGTGTTAAAGCGGGGATTTCATCGTCCTTCCTACGGGGCTGCAGGGAGGATTAACTCAGAGGACAGGGGTGCAGTCCACCTCAGAAGGGCTTGGGGAGCCATTCTCTTCTTCGGAATCTCCAAGAAACAGTGCCTCCACACCATGGTGGCATGTGACACTTGGGGGCGGGGGGGGGGGGAAGGGGGAGGTGGGCAGGGCAGGCAATTACTCCTCCAGAGCTACTGGGGCTGTTGGCTGCTGTGGGCGGGGTTACCTCTCCAGGAACAGTGACAGTGAAGGGCTAAATGGATCCTGACTCAGCCTGGTGAGTGAGAACCCCCTGGGAAGGGGCCCCAGGAAAGCCTGAGGGGGCAGGACTCCTACTTCCAGAGCAGCCTGAGGTGGGTGGTGGGTAAGGCCTTGGTCTCCTCCTCAGCATTTGGGTGCATGAATGTGACCCAGATCTTTGGAGTCTGAAGTGCTTTAGAAGTGGGAACCAATAGTGTGGGGGCTGGTTCTTGTTTTGTTTTGTTGTTGCTGTTGTTTTTGTCACAGCTACCGTCTCAGTTGAGGAGGGAGCCTCAACTGAGAAAATGCCTCCAGAAAGTTGATCTGTGGGCAAGTCTGTGGGGGCATTTTCTTGATTGACGGCCGATGTAGGAGAGACAAGCCCACTCTGGGTGGTACCATCCTTTGATATAAGAACAGGCCAGTAAGCAGCACTCCTTCATGGCCTCTGCATCAGCTCCTGTCTCCAGGCTCCTGGCCTGCTTGAGTGCCAGGAACTTGCCTTGCCTTCCCTCAGATGAATTGTAAGTTGTAAGATTAAAGAAACCCTTTCTTCCCCAAGCTACTTTTGGTCATGGTGTTTAATCACAGCAGTAGAAACCTTTACTAAGACCAAGGGACCCTGAACTTATTCCCAGGGAGCACTGGCCACAGCTTCTTGCATACCTCCAAGAACAGGAGTCTCACTCATCTCAAGTGGAACCAGAGGCCTTCTCTGAGATTCGGTTCTGCCCCAGGGACCTGAGAGTAAGTATTGAAACCATGCACTTTACAGGCTTAGGAAATTGCGATTGGAACTTATATCTTTAGTACTGAGGACTTGAGGTAATCTGGTGTGTGTGTGTGTGTGTGTGTGTGTGTGTGTGTGTGTGTGTACGTGCGTGTGATATCTGCAGGTGTGTGCGTGCTCATGTGGGTGTGGTATGTATGCACATCTCAGTCACGAATCAGCCTACTCTGAGTGATAGGTCTCTAGGCATGCCCCGCCCACTTGCCTGGGCCTCCTCCTCCTCCTCCCCCTCCTCCCGCAGTTCTCTTCACTTAGTCATTAGAAGCTTGGGGTTGTAAAAACAAAGTTCATTACGAAATGGTGGTGGCAGCCTGCTGGAACGAATGCTTTCTTCTTTGAACTGATGATCGAGGCTGCTACTAAGGGAGACTCTCAGACTTTGTGAGTTAGGAGAGGCGTTCCCAGCTCCTACCCCATGCAAGCCTGGGTTCGGCTTGCTCCTTCCTTGCATCTCAACCTCACTGGGCTGTGCTCACTCTGGCTATAAAAGGAAGTCTTCATTTGGATGTTACTTCTGCCCTGATCCTGAGTCATAGCTCCCCATCCTGGAGTGGGGGATCAATGGGTCAGGATCTGTGGTCTGTCTTGCTGTGTCTGTTGTGAATGTTGTTACCTTGCATTCAAGCTGCTCACTCTCCTGGGTCCAGACTGTCTTTCCTGGAAAGGAGATCTACAGATCAGATGGTGCTCCATTCCTGAGAGCCCAAGAATGGAGACCTATAACTGCCCAGAACAGTTATGACAGGCTGTCCTAACTTCACACCGGGGGTAGGGCCCAGAGGATCTTCATCAGTGATGACTCCACTGTGGCTCTGCTAGGAGGATTCATCACTGTGTGGGCTCTGCTGCCCCTGCCTGCAGAGGACTGAGGAGTAGGGTACCTCCTTTCACAACGCAGTGATTAGCTACAATAGAAAAGATGGTTTGATACTGCTGCCAGCAAGCTTCCCATCAGATGCCTTCTCCTTCCTCCTCCCCCTCCTCCTGCTGCTGCCCCTCTTCTTCCTTCTTGCAGAGGTGATGGAGGTGAAGATATGATGAGAATGGATTTCAGGGAGGTAGGAATATAAATTTTATCATATCTTCAAACTATTCTATTGTCTTCTCCCAAACATAGATGGTGACTTTCCAGGAAACTCTCTGCAAAGCTCCCATGAGAACAGCTTAGCCTCTTGTTTGCTCCAGAAAAATGCCCATGGGGTGTTCAGGAGATGCTATCAAGGGTATGGGGGAGGCCAGGTAGAGAGATGAATGGATGTATACAAGGAAGGATGATAGATTGATGGATGGAAGGAAGGGAAAACGGATGGATGGTTGAGTGGAGTGATGGACAGCTCCTTCCGCAGTAAACATCTGTATTTAGTCCTGCATAGACTGTCTTTGTCTGTGCTGTTTTATGAAGACATTGATGCTGGCAGACTTCTATACGGAATAAACTGTTTTCTTTGACTAATGTGTCTCCCAGGTTACCCCCAGGCACACTGGCCTGGGATCTGAGAAAGTGGCTTTACTTTCCACCCTGCTGGCTGGTTGCCTGCGCTTTCCCGGCAATGGTTGAGTTTCCTTATTTGAAAATGACCCTATACGCACCAAAGCCCAGGAATTCCTAACTCCTACTTATCTGTCATGGCCACACTAGACAGCATTTCCTCTAGGGAGCCCTCTAGGGTGACCTCCTGTCCACCCACCTACTATTGCCCTCTGGAGTAGGACCTCCATCCTACCCTCAACTTGGCACTATCTCCCCCATATCCTCATGGTGCCAGGGCTGTCTTCCTCAGCAATGTGAGCCATGTTGGGCCTAAGTCCTGGAACCCAACAAGGCCTTAGGAAGGCTTTGACCACAAGAACAAATAACCGAAGAATTGAATAAACTAAATAGTGGCTTCCTTGATCTCTGTTTGGAAATCTACTCTAAGCCTCTCTCTGAACTGATGTGCTTATGCATGGACTTGACTGCATGGCCTTAGATCTGGATAAACTATAAATTTACAAACCTGGATGTCCTGGTATGTCGTCACTCCAGCCCTCACACACACGTAGACCCTACGACTGAGTTATGTGTTTTTTGGGTGGCAGTGTGCGTGGACTCTGGGACCCCCCACCTGCATTTCATAGAAGATACCCCTTCTCTCCCTCATGATTGCCCTGTGGGTGCACATCTCAGGACCCCGGTGGCTTGGGGAAGGTGACAGAGAAGGAGAATCCTGGGGGAAAGTGAGGAAACTCCCATTCGTGTCTGGATTAGAAACAGTATCCATGTCATCTCAACAGCACCGGAGCCTGTCATGGAGACCTAACTTCAGATCCCAAAGGCCTTTTCTCAGTGGCTTCTCTTTCCAAGTCTCACCATGTGGATGCCTTATAGCCCAAGCCTGGCCTTACTCCCTGCGGTTCCCAGCAGGAGCCTTCCATGTCATCTCAGGATTCAGACTAAGGCTTGAAGGACTGAAGGACTGAAGGACTCCCTGCACCCATGCCTGGAGAGGGCTGCTGCTTTGTGGGACAGTGACCTACCATTTCCTTTGTTCCTTTATGGGACAGTGACCTACCATTTCCTTTGTTCCTTTATGGGACAGTGACCTACCATTTCCTTTGTTCCTTTGCTCCAGGCACCAGTGTCCAACTGCAGATCCCTTCTGGGGAGACATTAAAACACCAACTGTCTAACAAAGGTAAGGACTGAGTGACCAGTTTGCTGCTCCAGAACTCCCATAGCTCCCACTGTCCTGTTCATGAAATGTTTCATCCTCACTTTAGTCTCTGGAGAACCACACCCACACAAAGGCCAGGTTCCCACAACCCCACCCTGGGCACCTGCCACAGGAAAGCACAGATGTCCCTTCATCCTGACTAAATATCCCCCCTTCCCACAGGAATGCCACATGCTGGAAGGACACAAAAGGCTTGCTCTCTGAGCCCTGACTCTGGGTGGTTGCTCCAAGGCAGATGGAAGCCAGGCAAAAGAGGTCACCGGACAGCGTGGGGGGGGGCAGCTACACTGTGAATCCGCTGCCTGTCAGACTTGAACTTGTGATCTGTCTTTTCCTGCCACCTCTCTTTTGCTTTACTGATATTTCATCTTCCAACCATCTTGGACTACAGACTCAGTGCTTCCCACAGTCCTATTTTACAGCAAAGGAAGCCAAAGCTCCTCTAACAGCAGGAAAGCTAGAACATGGGTTCCTTCATTCCTTCATTCATTCATCTACCTCCTATTACCTGGGATCTACTATGTGTGGAAGCAAACAGCTGTGGCCCTCACTCTCCTGCAACTAGAGCTCTGGTGGTTGGGTCTGGGAGACACGTGACCGTGTGCCTCCCTGCGTCCCACGAGAACCTCCTCTTGCCATGTGTAGAGATTCTTTCTTTCTTTCTTTCTTTCTTTCTTTCTTTCTTTCTTTCTTGCTTGCTTGCTTGCTTGCTTGCTTGCTTGCTTTCTTGCTGTGTTCCAGGCACTCCATCCATCATGGTTTCTGGCTCCCAGGTGGCCAGCTGCGCAGGCTGGAGTTCGGAGGAGTCATCCCTCCCCTCAATCTTTAAGATGAGAGCCAAAGGGCCGTTGATCACTTTTAAGAGTGCAGTTGATGGCGGCCTGATGGGGCTGTAATTTCCCAGGTGCTTGTCTTCTCTCTGCTCCTGCAAATTGATGGGCCAGAGCTGGGCCCTGTGGGAACTATACGCTGGGGCTGAGGACTCCTGTGACTCCCTGGTAATTTCTTCACCAGCTGCTCAGGTAGGATGTCTGGATGTGCAGGATGAAGTCAAGAGATGTCCAGGGTGGGGTGGGGTGCAGAGGAAGCCATCCTGGTGCCACAGCCAGGACCACAGTGTCCCCTACATGGGAAGCAGGAACAGTGTGGAGCAGGTGGTCAGCAATCTGCACCTCAGTTTTGCCAAAGATGGGTGTCTTAGTTAGGGTTTCTATTGCTGTAAAGAGACCATGACCACACAACTCTTATAAACGAAAATATTTAGTTGAGGCTGGCATACAGTTCAGAGGTACTGGAGAAGGAGCTGAGAATTCTACATCTTGATCCACAGGCAACAAGAAGTAAACTGTTTTCTACACTGAGCATAGCTTGAGCATAGGAAACCTCAAAGCTCACCCCCACAGTGACACATTTCCTCCAAAAAGGCCTCTGGTGGCCTGAAAGAAAATGGTTCCTAAAGGGGGTGGCACTCTTAGGAGGTGTGGCTTTTTTGAAGTAGGCGTGGCCTTGTAGAATGTAGTGTGTCACTGTGGTCGTGGGCTTTGAGGTCTACTTGTAGACAGAAGTTTCTGTTCTGCCCGGTCTTGTAGCTATGCAGTCCCAAATAATACACAGGTTATATAAACTGTTTGGCCTGTTGCTCAGGCTTATTACTAACCAGCTCTTACAACTTAAATTAACCCATAATTCTTATCCATGTTTAGCCACATGACTTGGCACCTTTTCTCAGTAAGACACTCTCATCTTGCTTCCTCTGTGTCTGGCTGGAGATTATGTCTCTGCCTTTCCTCTTCCCAGAATTCTCCTAGTCTGGTAGCCCCAGCTATGCTTCCTGCCTGGCTACTGGCCAATCAGCATCTTATTCAACCAATACGAGTGACAAATCTTTACAGTGAACAAGAACATTATCCCCACATCACTACTCCTAGTTCAGACCACTTCCTGCTGCCTGCAGGTCACAAGGTAGAACCCTCAGTTCCTTCTCCAGCGCCATGTCTGCCGGCATGACACCATGTCACACCAAGATGACAATGGACTAAACCTGTGAAAATGTAAGCCACCCCAATTAAATGTTTTTCCTTTATAAGACATGCTGTGGTTGTGGTGTCTCTTCACAGCAATAGAAACCCTAAGACAAGGCCACACCTATGTCAACAAAGCCACACCTCTTAATAGGCCACTCCCTTTGGAGGCCATTTTCTGTCAAGCCACCTCAGTGGGCCACTAAGAATAACACCCACTGAGGGTTTGTATTAATCACAGACCATGCTAGACCCTTTACAGATGGCATCTTATTCACTTCCATAGCTTAATGAAGAAGACATTCCTGGCTCCATTTTATACACAAGGGGACTGGGACTCTCAGGGGCCAAAGGTCTTGTCTAAAGTTACACAGAGAGCAAGAAGTGGGCCTGGGATGTGGACCCTGGGCTTTCTACTGTGCTGTGGAGGCATCAAAGAAGCTTGGGGTCTGACTCACATATTTCCAAGTCACAGGAGACTCTGTGTGTGTGTGTGTGTGTGTGTGTGTGTGTGTGTGAGTGTGTGCCTATCTCCACCTCTCCAGCACTGGAATTCTAAGAGGGTTCTACCATGCACAGCTTTGTTTAAGAGCATGGGTGCTCAGCCTTGAACTCAGGTCCCTCTGCCTTTGAAGCAAACATTGTATCAGCAGAGACATCTCCCCAGCCCTGTTTTACTTGTTTTTTGTTGGGTGGGGATAGGGGTATGTGATAGTGGGGGCTGGGACTGGCGGGTGGGGTGTTTAGTTGGTTGGCTTTGTTGGTAAGACCTGGTTCCTCAGACATGCCTGAAGGTTGTCCCTCCCCTCTGTCCTCCATGTTCTAGGGGTGTCTGCTTCTCCTCTAACCCTGGCTGCAATTGGCACCTGCATGGCAAACTGCTGTGGTTTGCATATTGTGTGATTGTGCCCCCAGGACTCCTGTACTGTGTGGGGATGTAGTGGGGCCTTTAAGAGATGAGACCTGATAGGAAGTTAACTGGGTGATTGAAGGTGCTGTCCATGGTGGGCACTTGGTTGGCTCCATAGAGCCAGTTGTTATAAAAGCCTGCCAGGCCTCTCCCTCTCTCTGGTTTCCTGCCTAGACATGGGATCTCCTGGTGTTGCACATGCCTACTGTGAGACCATTTGCCAAGTGCAATGCAGCCTGTGGAGAGCTAGTGCCATGCTGTTTGGACATTTAGTCCCTAAACCCAAGATCTAAATAAACTCCATGTCTTAATAAATCCTCCAACCTCAGAATTTTATCCCAGCAGTGGAAGATGAGCTATTATGGTTGGAATTAGATGGTTTCACTATAAGAAAAAAGTGCATTATGAGGCAGTAATGGCAAAAGCATGAACAGCCCAAATTTATATCCAGCTGAGAAATGGAGAAATCAACTCTGATGTGTCTGTACGATGAAATGTGACCCAAGAAGAAAGGACACCGCATCTCCACTTCATGGATGAGCTTCTGATGCGGTACAGGAAGTGAAAGCCAGTCTTGGAAGCCTGCACAATGGGAGGGGCTGGTTGTGCACACGGCCCTCCGAGGATGGAAAGCTAGAGAGAGTGCAAACCAATCAGGACCAGTGCAGGTAGGAGTGGGGACACCTAAGGGCCTGCCAGGTACAATGGAGCATTTAAGAGGAAAGGAAGGGACGGGGAACAGCTCATTTGTTGAAAGTGTTAACCACATAAGCCTGGGAACCTGCGCCTGAGCCCCAGAATCCACACAGAAAGCCAGGCTTTGTGCACACAGTTGTAATCCCAGTCCTGGGAAAGTGGAGACAGAAGGATCCCATCTCTCAGGCAGCCAAGCTAGCCTAATTGGTGAGCCTCAAGCCAGTGAGAGAACCTGTCTCAAAAAACACAGTGGCTGACTCCTGAGGCGTGACACCTGAAGCTGATCTCTGGCCTCCACATGCACAAACATGAAAGTACAAGTGTGCCCACACATGTGTATCTGCATGTGCACACGTGTGCATGCACACAAGCACATAACCACCCCCCCCAAAGAAATCTTTCAGCATTGCAGTGTGGTGAGTCTTGGGGTTGTAGTCAAAGGATTTTGATCTCTAGCACCTGAAGTTCCAAGACCCAAGTACCTGAACTCTCTGTGGTGCTGGCTTCCTCTGAGGAAAACAAGCATTCTTGTATGACTTACCCGTACCCTGCTACATACTCTAAACTATCTCTCTCTGTGCTGCCATACCTGGCACCATGCCAATGACACATCAGTACTTCCCCTGCAGTATTCAGAGAATGACAAGGGAAAGTCTGCAAATCTCAGCACAGATGCAGTTTTGCTTTTTCTCTCAATAATTTCAGCCGCGGAATGCCAACCATACAGTATAACCAATTGCTCTTATACCCAGTACCTCAAGGAGCAAAATTTGTCAAAACTGGAAGATAAATGGCATTTTACAGGGGTTGCAGGAAGGGGGTGGAGAACTGTGAAGAGTTAGAAGTGTCCAATCTACGAGATGGAAAGCCTTGCCCCGCTGCTGCATCAGCCTGCGGATGGACCCAACACGGCTGTACGCGGAGAAGGGGAACTAAGGATAAGGTGGAGGTGGCAAAGACGTCTGGCACGCACAGAGGTCCAGGTTCAATCCCCAGTCTAAATGTCCTATGGTCGCCTAGGCCTAATCCACTTTTTGGGAGGATCAAGAGTTCAAGGTCAACCTCAGCTGCCTATCAAGGTTCAGGCAAGCCTGGGCTATGTGAAATTCTGTTTCAAAAAAAGAAAACAAAAGTAGTGAAGATGATAAATTTTATGAAGTTTCTTAAAAGTTTGGTTTAAAATAAAAGTAGTTGAGTAGACAAAGCTTTCCTGGGGCAAAGAAACTGTTGTGTATCCAGAGTAATTGCGTGGATGACTTTCCCACTGTGTGACCACCACACTGGACTCTAAAAGCAGGGAGAATTGGCTGCGTGTAAATCACAGACCACAATCA